TGTGAAGGACACGCTGCTGTATTTCCTGGAGTAGACGACAGTCAGCATGCCCCCAAACAGACAGGGAGTAAAGTAATGGCTCATAAACGAGATCAGATAAAAACACCTGTGTGGTCTCCAGATTTTCATCCGTGATGATTCCTTCAAGTTCAAGAACTCAAGTTACCAGAAGGTAACGAACCAAAACTGCTCGGTCCACAAAGACGGATCCACTGCTGGAAACGTGCAAACCTCTGTGTGCACAGACCGCGACTGTGAAGGGGTACAAAAGCACAGATGAGCGAGGTTGCACATCCATGCATCCATCCAACCAACATCTGTCCATCTATCTATCCAACTTCCTCCATCCATCAATCCAACATGTGTCCATCCATCCATCCATCCATTAATCCATCCATCCATCCATTAATCCATCCATACATCCAACATCAATTCATGTGGGTCGATTGTGGCTCAAGAGTTGGGAGGTCGCCTTGTAATTGGAAGGTTGCCGGTTCAAGCCCCGGCTCCGACAGTCTCGGTCATTGTGTCCTTGGGCAAGACACTTCACCCGTAGCCTACTGGTGGTGGTCAGAGGGCCCGGTGGCGCCAGTGTCCGGCAGCCTCGCGTCTGTCAGTGCGCCCCAGGGTGGCTGTGGCTACAATGTAGCTGCCATCACCAGTATGTGAATGGGTGGATGACTGGATGCGCTTTGGAGTCCTTAGGGACTAGTAAAGCGCTATATATAAATACAGGCCATCTATCCATCCATGCATCCATACATCCATCGATCCAACATGTGGCCATCCATCCATCTATCCAACTTCCTCCATCCATCCATGTGTCCATCCATCCCGATACTGCCAGAACACCTCAGAGTTTAGTTATGAAGAAAGACTTCATGATATCTCTGGTAGAGTCTGGTCCACAGATCAGTGTAACAGATCCAGTACGGACTCTTCTCTGGAGCTTAAACCTTCTTCTGAGTAAAGACACTTGTTTTATCAGTTTTCAGCTTATTGTCTCCATGTTTGTCCTGATGATGACTTCCTGTGACATCACTTTGGCCTCATTGTATCTGCTTTCTGTTCCCTCTGGTCTCCAGAGTCCTGCAGGACCTCAGCACCCACGTGGCCAAGGTGCTGGGCTCCTGTGGTCACTTCTACGCTGTGGAGTACCTCTCAGCCGGGCACGCCTGGGACCAGAACATCTTTTCCCTGGATGACGTGGCCATTTCTGAGGTTCAGGATCAGGGTGAAGGCGGAGACCGAGCCAGGTGGAAGGCCCGAGAGATGATGCACCGCATCGCGCTGAGCTTCCTGGACATGGTGTGGCACTTTGACAATGACTTCACCCACAAGCTACACCTCTGCGACATCAAACCGGAGAACTTTGCCATCAGGAAGGACCTCACGGTAAGTCCTCAGGTGTGACTTTGAACACGCTCACTCTGCTTTGTCTTTGCAGTGACTCAGAAACCACGGAGGAGGGCTGAATGGCTTTAATGCTGGCTGAGGATATAATGAACGTAAGAAGGATGAAAGCAGAGCAGGGAGCTGGGAGAAAAGAGATAAAAGGGACGTGTTTTTAGAAAGCTATTAGAGCAAAGATGGAAATCAGATGCTGGACGGCGGATTACGTGAGGTTTTTCTTGAACAGATATTTTTTTAGCTAAAGGAAGAAGATGTGACGCTGCTGCTGGGGAGAGAAGGTCATTGTGCAAACACACACCTGGGTACTTCTGTCTTTGTGAGGACGTTCACGCACATTATCAGAATCAGAAAGACTTTATTTATCCCCAAGGGGCAATTAAGATACACAGAATATACAGTATATACACAAAAGTGACTGAAAGGTGAATAAATAACTGTAAGTGAGTAAAGTGTCAGCAGTGTAAAAACAGACTAGTTTATGTTTCTGGTGTGGGAAATGTTCTTATCGGCAGGAGTTAAAAAGCAGAGCTGCTTTGGGGACAATGGTGGCGCTCCTCCTCCTCTCAGTCCTGCAGGAAATGCAGCAGAGGCGTCGCCCAGAGGGGAGGCATTGAAATGTGGGGTGAAGAATGTGAGAGGGGTTGTTGATGATTTTGGCTGCCTGTCTGAGGGCCTGTTGGCTGAAAACCTGTCAGAGTTCTGACAGGCAGGCCAATGATTTTAGAGCACACTGATGCAGTGTGCGGCAGTCTGTTCCTGTATGAAGGCTGAGATTTACCGCCCTGCAACTTGACGGACACCATTGAAATAAAGTCCAGGGTGGAGGTCGTGCCTCACAGCCTCACTGAGGGAAACAATCAGAGGGGATTTCCAGGAACGGGCACCAGCCTGGAAGCAGTCCAGATATGAACGAGGACACGGAGACCTTGGAGGGTGGAGTTTTTGGACTGTTCATTCATTCAACCCTCAAACCCAACAAGATCCCCGAACTCTGAGAAAGATGAAATAATCTCAGCGTCTTTGTTCTCGTGCCTGGAGTCAAATCCAGCGGCTGTCACCTCTGATGGATCCTCGGCCCATCAGTCACACGAAAGACTAAAAATAAAGTTTTCCATGAGCTGGAGCCAGACGTCCTCATCTCCAAGTCCCCATTAATCACCCCGTGATCAAACTTCTCATCCGTCTTTATTAATATCTGTAATGTTAAAATTAAAAGTATAAGCTTGCTTACTCTAGAATGAGAAGTGGACTTTGGTGTTTTTCCTGCGGTCATAAATCAGAGCCGGAGCGTCTGGATGGAGGGAACCGAGCAGGGTTTGTTTTCTCAGCGTTATCTGAAGCTTTTATGGTTTGTCGTTAAATCAGCAGCACTTCAGGTCGGCGCTGGACTCCAGCCAACAATCACAGCTCAGCCTAAGCTATTTTATCTCTCATTGTTCAGCCCCTGATCGCTGGAAAATGAGCAGTTAAAGGGAAAAAAATGAGGCGTTTGTAGCGCCAACAAAAGTCAAGTAAAGCAGAGGCTCACAATTGTTCTCCCGGTTTTGCAGGATTAATGTTTTTCCTGTCAAAGTGCTGACATGGAACATGTTTAACTGCCCTCACTTAATAATGCCAGCACCGTAAAACCACCGTGCAGCCTGCGCTCGTTTACTCCAGGTGTGAGTGGAGTCATTTCATCTGGTTAAAGAGATTTTTATCTGCAGATTATTCCCAGCAGACCTCCCGAGCACTGCCAGGCTCTGTGCCACAGAGACACGCTGCTGCTTACAAACTGGTAATATAATCCAGGACATCAACACACACCGCACGGCGTGACGATTAATCCACCGCAGAAAATAGTTCCAGATGATCAAAGCTGTTTGTAAAAAAAATGAAACTGCCTGTGGAAGATCTTCATCTCTGTCGGGCCAGAAGCAAACGAGCGTCCTGTCAGTGCGTCTCTCCTGCATCAGGGCTGATTTAAATAATACAGACCGGCAGATTGTTACTCCAAGAAAACCCTCCAAACTTCAGTTTGACGTCATAAATATGAAAGAAAAATCTCACAAGCTCAGGAGAGAAAGATGTGAGTTTGAGACGATGAAAAACACTCACTGCAGTAAACGTGCTTTGAGCGGTGGAGTGACCGGAGGCCCACACACACATTTAAACTGTGTGAGATTTTTATCACTCATCTGAAAAATCTGAAAAACATGTTTTCATATTTTACTGCTGGGGGACATTTGGCCTTTAAAACTCCTTTCACTTTTCCTCCGCACAAAAGAATCTCTGTAAAGTCTCATTTGAATAATAAAGACGAAAAGAGTCTTTTTGTAGTTTAGAAATTTATCAGAAGCTTTCTTTTATTTTGATTCCATGTCCTAAAAACTGGATCGAATGTAGTGGAGTGAAAATTGTCAGTGGCTCATTTTTATTGGATTCTCGTCTCTTTTGTAGCAAATTAAAATTCTGATTAGTTTAAAATGTTATAATAATTTCATGACGTGTAAACATTTAAATGAACCCTAACACCACCTGTTTTCTGTTATTATAAAACCTTTGTGATGCTGATTTAATTCATTCCTTTCAGTCTGAGCTTTGAAACACTTTCTGTGCATCCGTCACAGATTGTTACGGCAGGATTTCACTTCATGCATCTTCAGTTTTTGGTTTCTACAGAGCTCCAAATCTGCCGTTACAGCTCACACATCCAAATATCTGAAGAACTTCAGGCCTCACTGTGTTTGTGTTCAGCCCACAGAGTCCGTGTTCATAGAGCCGCAGCACCTGAAGGTTTCTGAGCTCGAGGGCAGAATTTCAGGCAGATCTGAGCTCGTCATGTGGGACACGTTTTTTTATTTATGTAGCGTGCTGGGATGGCGTGAGCACATCCAGGCTGTGTGTCATGTTTTGCACCTTTGAAAATATAAGGTGTGGATAATCCTGCAGCATGGGCTCACACAGGGCGGGTGTCCTCTGGTGTGTCCTGCAGGTGGTGGCGATCGACGTGGACATGGCGTTCTTCGAGCCGAAGATGAGGGACATCCTGGAACAGAACTGCAGCAGCGACGACGACTGCAACTTCTTCGACTGCTCGTCCAGGTGTAACCTGAGCAAACGCAGGTGCAGCCCGCGCCGCAGCAACAGCAACCTGCAGGTAAGCGAGGCCCTGTGACCTCACTGTGACACTTTCAGCTTTGAGCTTTTATTTTGTAAAAATCTGCTGAAAATGTGTTTTATTGTGACACTTTAATTTGGTGTGATTTTATTCTCTCAAATGCAGCGGTCACATGACTAAACCATCAAAGTCCGTTCAGTTTAACACTTTAACTCTTTTATTTTTCCCTCCTATGAAATTATTATTATTATTATTACGTATGTATCTATTTATGTTTATCTATTTACTGTACAAAATGATCAGGTTTTAGACGAGTTTTGTGTTTTTTGTAAAATAATAGTGAGTAATAAAACTTTCAGTCTGCAGAGGAAATAAACTGGCTAAAAGGAGAAAGTTTTATAATAAATAAAAATCATTTTGTATAATTAAGCAGAACTCTGAGAAACAAAAGCGTCTAAAATTAAAAGTGTCTTTGTTCCTCTCCGAGTCTTTGTCCACCTGTGTGGATGTTTTTCATTCCTCGGCGCGAGCGCTGAGCCGTCGGCTCACTCTGCAGAAAATTACAGGGTTGGTCTGTTTCTCCTCTTCCACCGTCGATCGTCCACAACGTCTAATTACATGTGTGGAAAAATGATAATTACTGACCGGCCTGATCCTGCTGACAGGCAGAGTTTCAACCTGTTTATTTACCTGTGCAGGTGATTTTGTCTGCAGGCTCACTGCTGCTGAGGAAACGATTTTCTCTCTTTTTTAAATGCATTTTGTATATTTGATCAATAAAATAACTTTTAAAGAAAAAAGTGAAAAGTTTTATACTGAAAAATTCATTTTCATTTCTGTCGATTTTATTTCTGTATCAAATTAAACCTGAAGAGTCGACACAATTTATCTATATGTCAGATTCATGCAGTTTATTACTTTAATTATGAACTTAATTATGAATTTATTCACTTTTTTATTGTTTATGATTGTTAAAGAGCGGTGAGGTGTGGGGGCCGTGACCTTTGCTCTCACATCTGAGATCCTCTGATGGGAGTAAAATATTTATGTTCTTAATATTTCATCTGATTGTATTTCACATCAAAAGTCCATTTTTAAATCTAAACTTCTGCATAAATTTGGAGTTTCTGGCTCATCGCTCTGCAGCTTCACATTAGACACATTTTTATTCTCTAAATATGGAAAAAAGTTACATTTGTCATCTGCTTGGAAACAAAAACACAAAATTAGTTACAGCACGAAGTCATGATTTAGGCTCACATTAAAATATTTGTCATCTTTATTATTCCAGCAGTTTCTGTGCTGTGGTTCCTCTCTTTCTTTACTTATTTACAGAATTATGATTATTGTTGTTATTGTTGTTTCATTGCTGTTCAAAATTGTTTTATTATTAAACTGAAGATGTTAGGAGAGTATTTTTATTATTTATAATGTTAAAGTGAAACAACTTAGAGAATTTCTCTAAATCATTTACAATTACTTTTAATAAATTACTTTTACCTTTAAATTGTTTTTAAATTAAATTATAATCACAAAATTAAAGCCAATTCTAATATTACATTACATTATATTACATTACATTATATTATATTACATTACATTACATTATATTATATTACATTACATTATATTACATTACATTATATTACATTATATTATTTTATTATATTATATTACATTATATTATTATATTACATTACATTATATTACATTATATTATTTTATTATATTATATTATTATTATTTACATTATATTACATTATTATTATATTATATTATATTACATTATATATTATATTACATTATATATTACATTATATTACATTATATTACATTACATTTATATTACATTATATTACATTATATTACATTATATTACATTATATTACATTATTATATTATTACATTACATTACATTATATTATATTATTACATTATATTACATTATATTATATTACATTACATTATATTACATTACATTATATTATATTACATTATATTTCATTACATTATATTACATTATATTATATTACATTATATTACATTATATTATATTACATTACATTATATTACATTATATTACATTATATTATATTACATTATATTACATTACATTATATTACATTACATTATATTACATTATATTATATTACATTACATTATATTACATTATATTATATTACATTACATTATATTATATTACATTATATTATATTACATTACATTACATTACATTACATTATATTATATTACATTATATTATATTACATTATATTTCATTACATTATATTACATTATATTATATTACATTATATTACATTACATTACATTACATTATATATTACATTACATTATATTACATTATATTATTTTATTATATTATATTACATTATATTATATTAATTATATTACATTATATTATATTACATTATATTATATTACATTACATTAATTATTATATTACATTATATTACATTACATTATATTATATTACATTATATTACATTATATTATATTACATTATATTACATTACATTACATTATATTACATTACATTATATTACATTATATTATTTTATTATATTATATTACATTATATTATGTTACATTATATTATATTACATTATATTATATTACATTATATTACATTATATTATATTACATTATATTACATTACATTATATTATATTACATTATATTATATTACATTACATTATATTACATTACATTATATTATATTACATTATATTACATTACATTATATTACATTATATTACATTATATTATATTATTATATTACATTATATTATATTATTATATTACATTATATTACATTATATTATATTATTATATTACATTATATTACATTACATTACATTGTTAGCAGTAGTAGTATTATGATGATCGTTGTTAGCTTGAAGTTGTTTTGACTCATCAGCCCGTCAAACTCAGAGGACAAAGGACACCAGAAGCTGAGCCGACGTTTCTGTCACCATCGCCATCGCCGTGACAACACCAGGACGGACTCTCATCGCCCCGTATCACATGACTCGTGATACGTGATACCTGCATTCATCCACCAAAAGAGGACGTTTAAATATGAGACGGACGGAAACTGTTTCTCTAACAGGTGACGACCGGAGGCGCAAACACGGCGGCGTCTGAGGCGGGAACCTTAGAAACTAACGGAGTGGATGGATCCCAGGAGAGAGGACAGGAAGCTGAAATTTAAAGGAAAGTAACAGAAACCAGAGACAGAACAAAATCAATTATCACCATAAATAAGAGTAAGTCGGAGCAGAGAGGAAGGAAGTGGGAAAGAGTTCAGGTGATGAAGAAAAAGGAACAAAGACACAAAAGAGGAGAAAAAACAGATGAACTGACAACTGAACCAAAACTGAGGAAAGGAGGCGAAGAACAAAGAGACGAAGAAGAAAGGAGAAGATGAAGATGAGTGATGATGACATGCTGACAACATGCTGCTCTGCCATTGGCCAAAGTGAGGCTCCACAGGTGTCTCTTGGGCGCACCCAGCAATGACCCTCAACCTGCCAATCATCTCCGGAGAGAAAGAAGTCATTGTGTGTGTGTGTGTGTGTGTGTGTGTGTGTGTGTGATGTCGTCTGCATACTGATGAACCAATCAGGTGCTGCTCAGACTCACTGCTCCTCCTCCTCTGTGATTACCTCTCCTGATGCGCTCTTCTTCTTCTTCTTCTTCACTTTTCTTTACTTGGAAGCTTTCCCCTTTTTTTTGCAGATTTCTTCTTCTTCTTCTTTTTCATCTAATTCGAGAGTCCGATGTGTGATTTGTGACTTTTTCCTCTTCGTCTTCAGGTGATCTGTGAGAAGATTTTTAGACCGTGGTTTTCTCCCACGCTGCTTGGGGCCAAAGCAGCGCTCCCTCTGCAGGTAATGTATTTGAAAACATCTTCAGAGGTCCATCTCACCCCACGCCAGCATCCTGCTCTGTCACACCAGCATGTCCTCCTGTGTCTGTGAACCTTCTCAGCTCCACACCAAGCCATTAAAAATGCTCCAGCACATCCACAGTGCAGAGGTCCGGGTTAATTACAGTTACATGTGGAGGACTCCTGTCAATCAAAGCAGCCAGTAGTGTTTCTGTAGATTCAGAGATAATTTTAATACAACCTCAGCCAGGAAGCTCCAACGTGAAAGGGAAACTGGCACCAGCATCATTCGGGAATTCCAGTGATGGAGGGATAATAATTTGGTTTCAGCGATCAAATCCGACTCCGAGCCGACTTTAATCCCAGCTTTCCTGCAAACACTGATGAACTGCAAATTATCTAATGTAGGACAGCAGTTAAAGTCCTGAGTTTTGTGGATTAGAGAGTTTAAGACGTGATGTTGGTGTTGAAATTGTCTTTTTCCATCAGGTGGAGCTGCAGCGAGCTCTGCAGGAGTGTTCAGCGACTGAAGGGGGCGTGGAGGAGTCAGAGGAGGATGGAGGTGGTGGTGGTGGAGGAGGAGGAGGAGGAGGCAGGGGCGTCCATCAGCGCCTCTTCAGTGTCCTGAAGCGCCTCATCCAGGAGGGAGGGGCTTCAGATGAAAGCGGAGAGGCATGGGAGGGAAAAGGCCACGCCCACACTGCGCTGAACTTTTGAGCTGTAATGAGAAGGTCGATGTGGGCGGAGCATCTCAGAAAACCAGAGAATGTTTTAAAACTATCAACGGGTCTCTTCATGGCCAGAGAGCCCAGGTAAGACTGGCCACTCACTGATGGGAAAAGACTCGTCCACTGACACATTTTGGGTCCAGAACCACAGTTTGAGCCACTCTGAGTGTAAGTGACTCCGTCAGCAGGTCCCATCTCAAAGAGACACAGCAGTGAGACTTTTGGCCTCAGTGTGCATCGAACTCTATCACGATGAACAGTTTTAGACACACACACACAAAAGTCACGGTGTTCTCGCTGCCAGTGACGGACGTTTCATCCTACCCAGTTTGTAAAATTTAACCAGAACTTAAGGTGGAGTTCAGGAAAGGTCCACCTTTGCCTCCAACAAAGAGAACTTTGACCTAAGAACTGGTTTGCTGTGGAACAACTTGAGCTGCATCCATCACCTTTAGCTCACGAGTGTCCAGGTGCTCGTCTGGGAACGTCTGATTGGGTCACAGCGAGCATGGAAACATTCAGCGACGCCTCACGTTTCTTCTCGTCACAGAACCAGGGATCCAGTGTGGGCAGATCCTCGCAGATTTATTATCCTTTTACGTAACTGGTTAGTCTCAGTGAGATTTTTCAAAAGAAGCTCTCTCATTTGAAGAGAAACTGTAGAAAATAAATGTGTTTGAATGATAAATGCTGAGATACAATGTAACATATGACTAATGATGTTTGATTCACAGCTGAATGAACGACTCTTGGCCTCTTTTAAAGGTTTTTAATGGTTAATTTGACATGTTTTTGTCCCGTTGTCGACTGTTTTCAGGTTCCAAAGACAGATACCAATAAAACATATATCATCCATCCAAAGTGTGTTTGGTTTGTACAGAACGTCTGTCTCACAAAATACAATGTACTGTTTCATGTTGTATTAAAATAACAGATTTTGGAAAATGTACTGATAGTTTGGTCAAATGTCTTAGTGAAGAAGACATTTGTGACCTGCTGAGGCCTCCGGGAAGTTTCTTTGTTTAACAAGACCAATATGAGCCTCAGCAGTCACAGACACCCGCTCATTACTACTATGCAACATCCAGTAAAAATCCTTGAATTTCTCCCACCAAACCTGGGCTCAGACTTTTTGGAAGGTCTGTTACTATAGTAACCTAGCAAAATGGGTATGGCCCACACAATGTGCTTACACATGGCCCACACACTGCAAAGAATGACGGCCCTTTGGTGGCCCAGATCTGGTTTCCAGAGGTGGCCCACACATGGGCCAGCACAAGGCCAGCTGCAGACTCACTGCTGGACCTGTGCTGGCCCAGATGTCAGCCTAATGTGTACCTTAATCAAGCCATGTAATAACAACATGTGCCAGAATATAATAGTGCAAAAGTAACATGATGAAACTCTGTTCAGAGAGTGAATGGACTGATTCTTATATAGTGCTTTTCTACTCACCCAGATTACTCATAGTGCTCGATGCAACATGTCATATTAACCTAATCACACACTTTCTCTAAACTGAGTGCTTCCTAACTACATTCATACTCTTGACATGCAGACTGGAGGAGGCAGGGATCGAACCACTAACCTTTCGATCAGTAGGTGACCTGCTCTTCCTCCTGAGCTACAGCCACCGAGTGGTGAACCTGAGTAAACCCTCACTAGGTTTGGATAAAGTGTGAACTCACAAACCTGTCAAACCTGCATTTGAAACATTAGCTACCATAGCAGTATAGTATTGCAACATGGCATTTGGGTCTTCTAACTCAAATAGGAAAATGGGAACATAAATAGTGCCTCATTGCCAGACGTGGCCCACATCTGGTTGACATACACTCTGCCATGACACCAGTCAGTCAGACGTGCCAGCTTGATGCCGGATCCAGGCCAGACAGTTTTCTATGAGCCTGGGCCACATAAACCAAATCATAATCGGTCCAGATGTGGCATGGCATCACATAGACAGTGCCATCTATGCCAGGCCTGGCCCACATCTGGATGAAATACATCTTATCATGCCAGAAGTCAGCCAGCAGTGCCGGCTTGATGCCAGATATGCACCAACTGTGGAAAGCTGTCATGCATGTATCTGCAAACTTGATGACCTCATGTTAAGAGCTTGTGACACTAACCGCCCAGACTGTCCACTCACAGATCTCCGAGCTGGGAGTCGGTCCTTCTGGCAGGAAACTCCTTTGTTTGACTCTTTTAACTCGGAGCCCCAGAGAGACGATTCCAGGCTAACAAACTGAATCCCTGCAGCTTCTTTCATCAGGCGCCTGAGGCCTCATGTTACAGGTGTAGAAATGTGAGCGAGCTGCTGATGCGTCCCTGGCGTGTTTTAATTCCACTGCAGTCGGCTTCCTGGACGTGTCACCACAGCAGCTGTATGGAGAGGACTCAGCTGGAGAGCTTCCAGAGCTCTGCTCAGCCTGGCAGCTTTCCACTCTTTCACTTCTTTAACAAAACAAAAAACCAAAAGCTCCAAACTTCACGCTGAAAACGCTCCAGAGACTTTACTGGAAAGCAGAGCGGAGAGCATGATGTGTGCTGCAGATTCAAACGCTGATCTCCTTCCTGTCATATCAAACACCACAGGCCTCCCTGTGGTGGAAGCACAGACTTGTGGGTATTTAAGTTGAGCAGCACACCGACCGTGGCGCTGCTAAACACTGGGCCACACGCTGTGTTTGTGCTGCCGGCATGCAAAGCTGCTTAAGCTGCTGCTTTAAGTTCATATTCTCCTTCTGGCAACACGCCGGTTTGTCTTGTTCACAGTTTTATTTCACAGCAGATCAGAGGAGGCGTTTTATTTCACCCTGTCTACACAACTTTTCATTTATTGAAATTGATGAAGCGGTGCAGGAGGTCCAGACACCCGAGAAGACCGCTGTGTTAATCAGAACTCATTAAAACAAACTGGATGGTGACGCACACATGATGGACCTGATCTGAAGAAATGCTGCACACCTGAAAGCCTTTTTCTGCTGCCACCTCCTGTTAGCAGCGCTGCCTCAGGCCAGTCATAATGTGGGCGTCACCCAGCTGCCTTTCATCCTTTCAAAGGTTAAAAATCTTCCTTTGAGCCCAAAGGTGTGAAAATCAGTGGCTGAACTAAACTAAGCAAACCACCTGTGAGCCGTCTTCAGGTGTTTGTAGCTGTGATGTGTCAGCATTAGATCCTGCACATCATTCACCTTTAAGGCTACGTCTACACTAATCTGGATACATCTGAAAACGTCTACACTCATTTTCAGTGGTTTACGAGCAGTTGTTCATCCACATTGAAACGGCCGTAAACGCTTACGTGAAACGCAAGAAGATTCAGCCTGCCTCATTTCTGTCTGCCGTTTATTTACTTCAGGTCTTTGAAACGTTGCAGCAGAATGTGGAGGAAAAGCAGCGAGTTTTTTAAATGGACTCACAATGAGGTGGAGTTGTTGCTGCGAGTAACACAAAAGTCCAAAGTTGCAAAAGCGAGTGAGAGTTAAAGAATTTGAAGAAGAGCTCTCTGGAGCATCTACAGACTGATATTAATCTTTAACAGGGCTGTCAAACAACTGCTGTATAACGCCCTCCGCTATCTTAGTTTCATTGGTCACATGACTGCATCATCGTTTCTGAAAGGCTCCGGGGTCGCTGTCCACACTGCGATGCGAAGACACCGTTTTCAAATGTATCCGCTATGGGGAGCGTTTTGAAAACGCGAGAGAAAGATGCGTTTTCAAACGCAAACGTGTTAGTGTGGACGTAGCCTGAATGAAACATACAAGTTGCTTCAGATAAGTTTATATCATATCGTTAGTACGGCTATTGATCTGACATCTTCCCTCAGGTATTATTTTGCTGTTAGCAAGCAGGTGAACTAAGGTCACCAGCTTTATGTCTCTGTCTCACGGGCGTGTCCGTCTCCAAAGGCTCCATCATTTTGAGCTGTAATAGATAACAGCAAAAGTTCTTCAGCCAGGAAGGAGTGCAGAAAGACGAAGACGTCCATGCAGGGTGCAGACGTGCAGCTCGGTCTGTGCTGCGGCTGTTTGCCAAAGAAATATTTCTCTTTAACAGCACGAGATCGTAACAGATTTATGTTTGTGGGATTTTTAGTGTCTGATGTGTGATGTTGGATTTTTGGATGTTTTCCCCACATGTAGACAAACTAAGCACAGCAAAGCCTCCAGTGAGAGTGTTTGTCCGGCTGTTTGTGAGAGCTTTACTGTTTCAGTCCTCGGGCTTTGTTCAGCGCCTCCAAACGTCTGAACAGCTGCTGAGAGAGGTGAGCTCTGACTTCCTGTTTTAAAAGGATTCTTGGCTCCTTTTTAGATTTCTAATCAATGATATTTGATGTGATCTGTTTCCATCACCGGGTCAGTACGTAGCTGCAGCCCCAGATGGGATTTCACTTTCAGTGGAAATAAAAGAAGAAATGTGAGCCAGTGTGGCCTGAAAGAGCCCGGACGTTTTCCTGGATCAGAAATCAGGGAAGTCATCTGCATCCACTTTCCTCATATCTAATGTTTCCAGCAGCCACCAAACTGGTCTTCATTATCCCAGAGAGGAGCCGCGCCTGGGCTTTAATAACAACAAAATCAGTTTAGTGACACGAGAGAAGAGTTCGAGTGAGCAGACCGACAGCAGAGGAGGAAACGATCACGGAGACATCAATCACAGAAGAGCAGCTGACGGAGAGCTGAAGTAAGGAAAGCTCAAACATCTGTGGAGCCCACTTTTCAGCAAAGTTTACCATCTGCTCGTATTTTGGTTTGAAGCTTTGAAAAAGCAAAGATGAACTCTCAGCTCAGAGGTGGTGTCCATCCTTCATGTACAGTCTGTTAGGCCCACCATGGCCGTCCCACACGTTTCCACTTTGTGTGCTCTGCATCACTGTGTGCCTTTAATTCACCAATCATGAAGTCTGGCTGAGAATTAAAGCTGGCGAGATAAAAGCTGATAACAGTGCGTGTTGCTCCTGTTCTACACGAGTTCATTTCACGGCGCGTTAGGTCCGAGCCAGAAACCCTCTGAGCTGTGATGAAGAGGCGGGCAGGGCGAGCGGGCGGTGAAACATTAAAGTTACTCACCGTGTCCGGCTTCATCTGCACGGAGCGTCACGGAAAACTGTTTCAGCTGCTTTCACTGAGGAGAAGAAGCTGAAAGAGGAAAAGAGAGAAAACGCCACAGAGTTGTTCTTTGTCTAAAACTACAGAACAGCTGTGCTGTGATGTGGGTTACTACGGTAACGACCTGCCTCACTGATCATCACGTTGGTCGAGCAGCCTGTTTGGTATCAGTGCATTAAATCTGTCCAACGTGTGCTTCCTGTTTAAGGAGTTCCTGAAGCTGTGCTCGTCTTTAGACTCCAGTAAGGACTGGAACTGGTTTTGGACCTCGTGGTTTCTCTCTGCTGGTTTTGGGGTCTCAGTGGAGTTTCTGGGAGCGATCAGAGTTTGAGTGATCCTGACACTTTGTCTGGAGGATGTTTGTACGCAATAAGATGAAGTGCAGACTGCTGTGAGCAGGTAGCTAAGACATGATTCTCGTCAGGCACAGTGATGTGCTGCTCACACTCAGCAGGTGCTGGGTTTGAACTTCCTGCTGTTCTGGGGTCTTTCTGTGTGGCGCTGTCTTGTCCCCCTGTGGCTGTGTGGGTGAACTGATGAAGCCAGACTGGTCGTAGGCGTGGATGTAGGAGGTGTTTGTCTCTCTGTATTAGCCCTGTGACGGTTTGATGACCTGCCTTTGGTCTAACCTGTTTCAGCTTATGGCAGACGGGATGAGCTAAAGCCACCTCCGTGGCTCAGACTGTGGATGGATGGATACACCCAAAGGGCCTCTCTCTCGCACCCCTCACT